GTCTAAGTTAGGCCTAGAATTCAGGTTTTACCACACTTTAACTAATGGATCAAACTGGTTTTCACACTGGATCATATTTTGAAATATTTTGAGACACTAAGAGTAAAGCTAATATGTGATCATTTATATTAATAGGAAATCTGAAGGCAACAATCGAAGAGTTTATAAAATGTTACTTTTTCGTAATAACTGATCCTTTGAATAAGTGAGAAAAGGACTATAATCCCATCAGCCTTCCCTAATGCCTGGGACACTATGTCACAAATTTAAAAAAAAACTGAATAGGAAAAAACAGAAGCTCAATATAAAAATTCTGTGGTTATCATTTCAGTATTTATGGCAGTGAGATTTTAAAGTAAAATACCTATCTCCAGAATAGAAGAAATGTTGCCTCTTTGGGCCATTTATAGTAAACCTGTTTTCCCTACCATAACTAGACATCCATTCAAAGCCTGGCAAAGAGTCACCATTTTTTCTATAATCACCCACTGTCCTTTTAAAAACTGTAAAAATTAAAGTATTAAATTATTTTGATGTGTGGTGAATAACTGAGTAGAAAACTATCAGGAAATCCAAGAGCTATAATTTGGTTTTTTTTTAATTTATTTAATTTATATGCAACCCATCTCACTATCATTTGACAATAGCATATATCAAATTATGTCAGGAAGGTTTTAAAAAGTAATTTAAAAATTCAGTGGCAAAAATTAAATGATTATGATTCTGTGTTTGAAATAATGGGCACTTTTTCGTAAGGAGATATTTAAATAGTCACCAGGAATCAACTATGATTCAATAGAGTTTTTACCTTGTCTGTTAGAGAATCAATGCATTTTTTTCATCAATTTTATTTATGTGCCCTTATCTTCCAATCCAAGTTACCTCTCAGCATTATTTGATGAAGGATGAACATTTCTATTACAATAAACTGATATCTGATGGAAATATATTGGTAATCTGCTCTGTATCTGGAGCAGCATATAGTGATTAAAATCATATTAATCTGAGAATAAGATGAAGATACATTTACCTTTGACATATTTTCAGGCATACCTATCTGTTGTCTATCAGTTCTCCCCACATCATTAACATTTTCTGAGAGATTCTGAGAAGTATACTGTGAAGCAGTATATGTCTAAGTGCTGTTGCTATTATAACACATAATTAATGAATTTATTTGTAAACAGCAATTAATTGAGTATTTGAGAAGCCTTCTGAGGCATATTTTGCACATATATGTAAAATGTTTGTTAATGCTTTCTCAAAACCTTCATTCCTTTTGTTACAGGAAAAGCTCCAGTCTGGCAATGCTCTTTCATTTTTGAATATTGACAGAAAACAATTTGAGTAATAACAGAACTGCTGTAATCATACATCAACACATTTAGGTTCTGGAGGACAACCATAAATCTAAATTTCATATTTATGCAGTCTCATGCCAATTTCAGATAATATACATGTGCTGAAAACCTGAATCCAGGTTATAATAAAACCTTATAAAAGCTGTATGAGCGAAGACCTTTTTGAGAAGTTATATAGTTGTAAGATTTTTTTCTTGTTATATATGGAATGGACCATTTCAGCATGACATCAATGAATGATTATCACTTAAATGTAGAAGTTTGCCTCTCTTATACAAAATTTGCACTGTTACACAAAGAGTTAGAAGATTTGTTTATTTGTATCCAGACTTTTTTTATTTAAAAAAAACTCAAGCCAACGAACATACCCAACAAACCTTCCTCCTCCTATTTTCCCCACAACAACAACTGAGAAATATTTACTGTACTGGGTTGGCCTCATACTGGGCAAACAGGACCTGTAGTAGACTTAGATTTAGACTTAGAATAACTTTATTGTCACTTTGAATGTACACTAATCGGCATACATTAAAATGAAATTTCATTGCATATAACTCTCAAAGGGTCACCACCTCTAATATACAACTACATAAACATGACAAAATAAACAAATAAGTACAAAATTATGCACATGCCCAGGGGTGGGATTCAACCGGTTCAGACCGGTTCTATAGAGCTGGTTGTTATGATTCTGCACATTTCAGAGAACCGGCAAACTGTGCCCCTGGCTGACCCTGCCCCTCTCCACCCACCCCTCCCCTCCCCGTCAGTCCTTATCGTGCATGTGCAACATTGCTGACTGCGTTCTCCCCCACCCAGTCATATGGCCACAACCACCTAGCCACACCCACAGAACCGGTGGTTAAAAAATTTGAATCCCACCCCTGCATATACCCATATATATTATATGACACAGAGAAACAACACAATCTAGTCTGGATGTATACATGTACACGGCAAGAAGAACTAATCTTGTGGGTTTATCAGACGGATGGCATAGGGAACAAAGCAGGCACAGAATCCAGTAGTCTTGCTAGAAATACTTCAAAACCTCCTCCCAGAGGGGAGCAACAGAAACAGACCACAAACTGGGTGTGTAGGGTGTCTAACAATGCTTTTGAACTCTAAGCATATAGCGCTTATATGCAGTATCTGGAATGACAGGAAACGAGCTTCCTATAAGCTTTCTTCTCAGCTGTCCTTATACATCTCTGTATGGACTTTCTATCTGAGGCACTGCTGCCACCAAACTAAACAGTGATGCATTTTGTTAAAAAGCTCTTGATTGTGTAAAAAGTGGCCAGGATAAGAAAAAGATGTGCTCTCCTCATCCAACACAGGAAATGCAAACACTGGTTTGTACGCTTCACTAAGGATGACCTGTGGAGTAAGCGCTAAGTAAATTACCGAAGGCCTGCAAGTTTATATCACAGCTCGCTTCTGACCAAATATCATTTCCCCTTTCCTTTCTCTCGCTCTATTCACCTCCCCAAATCAGGCAAGACTATTTAAGTAGATGAGTCTTTGACCTATGATCACAATTTAAGTAGATAAGTCTTCAACTTATGACCACAATTGACCCCAAAATTTCCATTGCTAAGCAATAGTTGAGCTTTGTCCCATTTTACAACCTTCCTTACCACAGTTAAGTGAATCACTGCATTTCTTAAGTTAGTAACGTGGGTAAGTGAATCTAGCTTCCCCATTGACTTTGCTTGTCAGAGGCTGTAAAAGGGTGATCACATGATCCTGGATATTGCAACCGTCGAAAAATATGAACCAGATGCCAAGCATCCAAAATTTCATCACATGACCATGGGGGATGCTGCAATGGTTGTAAATGTGAAAAATGGGCATACGTCACTTTTTTCAGTGCCGTTATAACTTTGAATGGTGCTCAAAGAACAGTTGTACATAGAGGAATGCAGGTAGCCTTCGACTTACAATAGTTCATTTAATGATCATTCAAAGTTACAATGGCACTGAAAAAAGTGACTTATGACAATTTTTCACTCTTACAACCGTTTCACTCTTACAATCCCCATGGTCACGTGGTCAAAACATGGATGCTTGGCAACTAGTTCTTATTTATGACAGTTGCAGTGTTCCGGGATCAAGAGATCACCTTTTGCAAACTTCTCAGAACCAAAGTCAATGGGGAAGCCAGATTCACTTAACAACCGGGTTCCTAATTTAACAACTAGTGATTCACTTAACAACTGGGGCAAGTAAGGTTGTTAAAATGGAGGAAAAGCTGCCTAACAACTGTCTTTTTTAGCAACAGAAATTTGGGGCTCAATTGAGGTCATAAGTCTAGGATTATTTGTATCTGGCTGACTTATAGGCATATGTGTGCTTGCTTTGGATTTCCATGTTTGTTGAAAACAATGGAGAAATCTTCAAGTCCAGTAACTGGCATTCTTCTGAGAATCAACCTTGGATTGGTTTCTCCAAGTCATGACATTTGATTTGGCATTATGGGATTTTTATGAATTTAGAGTTTTAAAAAGCAATTGAAATGAAAAAATACCCACAGGATAATCTATGTAAGACAAATCTATAACTGAGTGATGAATGAAAAGGACATTTTAACCATTATTTTGAAGGATAATCTATTGCAAGTTATACAGAATGTTTTTTCATCAGAAAACCTGTCTTTAGCAAGAAACAAATGAGATAGGGATAAATTAAACAGAAATAGTGGGTGATCCTCTCATGTTAATACAGGTAGTCCTTGACTTATAACAGTTCATTTAGTGACTGTTCGAAATTATGTGACTGAAAAAAGTGACATGACCATTTTTCACACTTATGACCGCTGTTGGCATGCCCATGGTCACGTGATTTACATTGGGAGGCTTGACAACCGACTCATATTTGTGACGGCTGCCATGTCCTGAAATCATGTGATCAGCTTTTGTGACCTTCTGGCAAGCAAAGTCAATGAGGAAACCAGTTTCACTTAACCGTGTTACTAATTTAACAGCTGCAGTGATTCATTTAACAAATGTGGCAAGAAAAGTCATAAAATAGAGCAACACTCACTTAACAAATTTCTCACTTAACAACATTAAATTTTGGGCTCAACTGTGGTCGTCAGTTGAGGACTCCCTGTATTAAATTGCACTGCCTCCATCAAGACGCTGGAAGATTTTAATGCTGCTAAAATGCACCGTTGCACATAGACCAAAACTTGAGATGAAGTCACTTATTTACTATTATGGCTGAGTGGACTCACAACCATTTACTAAGATCACCTTTTTTAATATTATTTTTGACCCGGAAAAAAAAAATCTATGGAGAGAACAAAAATTCCGAAGAAATCAGGAAGCTGCTTCTGCAGGCACGAAGCAACCAATCCCCTTCTCTCTGAGCTTCTATGACACTGATAAACAGCGTAAAGAAAAACCTTCAGCGCTGCCTCTCTCTAGAGGAAAAAACAGCGTCAGAGGGAACGTCCTCCGACTCGATAGGGGGCACTCTTTAAAACCGCACTAAAGTAGTCTTCCGCCAGCTTTTCCTTCCACCCCGACCAACTCAACTTGCAACTCTATGATTTATTAAAGCCGGAGTATTGCAGAATGTGAGTGAATTCCGGTTTGGCCGCGCTTGGACGGAATTCTCGCGAGAGGTGCCGCGATGGAAGAGGAGGAGCCGGGCGCGCCGGCGGCGGGTGCTGCTTCGGGAGGAGGAGGAAGTGTCATGGCGGCGGCATTGAGTTCCGGACCTGGCGCGAGTTCGGGGTCGCGCGGACCTGGCGGAGGCGGCCTAGGAAGTTCGCGCTGGTTTTTCAGCCGGGAACGGTTGGAGAACACGCCGTCGCGCCACTGCGGCGTCGAGGCCGACAAAGAGCTCTCCTACCGGCAGCAGGCGGCCAATCTCATCCAGGATATGGGCCAGCGCCTCAACGTGTATCCTTAGCGGCGGGGCCGGCTGGCTCGGAAGGGGGGGGAAAGAGGAGGCCGGGGCGGGGGGAGGGAGTCGGCGGGGGAAGGGAAGAGCCTTTCGGGAGGGGGTGAGGCCCGGTCCCAGGGGTTCTGTCGGAAGGCCGGCCCGCTGGCGAGGCTGGGAGGCCTCGCCTGCTGTGGCTCCACCCCTCGGCCTGAGCTCCCGTCTTCAGGGGAGAGTCGGGAAGGCGCCACAGGCTCCCCCGGGAGTCGAGGAGAAAAAGCGAGGCTGAGTTTCGGCGCCTGTCTGCCTCCTTTGCGCTCCGGGGTGGCTTTAAGTTTTTCCCCGGAGATAACGCGCGAGTTGCCTTGTTCAGCCCCCTCCCTTAGCTTGCAGGGGTTTCGAGTTGGCTTTTTTAGCCAGGTGCTTTTTCGCTTTGTTTGATTGCAAAAGGATCGTGGTTGTATAATGGCTGCTGAACACAGGTAAACTCGGATTTGTGCCGTCGGTATTGTTTTTCTTTTTCAACCGGTTGTGTGTGTGTTTTAATTGCGATTTAATAGGAGGTAGTAATACATCTTGTTGGTTAAACCGAAACCCACCCACCCCTCCCAATGCCCTCTATATTAGTCGGTCAAGCTTAAGAGATGTGATGCTTTTACTTCGTGTGGTGGATAAAAGTTTGGTGACAGTAAGGAATAAACGGCAGGTGTGACACCCCCCCCCTCAAAAAAAAACAACTCACTGGCATATACAGTTTTGAGACATTTGATGTGAATGATGGAAAAGATATTTCATCCAGGAATTGTTTTAAATGAGAAACAGGGAACAAATGTGTTTTAAAGTAGAGTAAAACAATCTAGACAAGTTAAATGTCATGAAAAATAAGGTTATTCAATAGAACTTTTTGTATCTTATTTATTCTATCTAAAAATAAATAGATATTTTTGAATAATGAAATTGAAAATATAGCCTCTGGTATGCTCAACAGTTTTTCCGGAGTTTTTGAAGTAAGGAATAGCTGCTATCATAATTTTTGTAGTTCTGAATGCAGACTGAATTAGTTTTGTATAAATATCAGAACATATTTAATGAAATGTAATGAAGATATCAGTACTTTCAGAGCTTTTAGCAAAACTAATTTAGATCAATATTTTGCTAAAACAAGTATTAGCTGATAGCTGCTGTTTATCATAAAATTAATTCTGCTAGCAATTTTTTTATTCAATTTCTATAGCTGCCTATTTCAATGCAGTTGACTCTGATAAGCTTATCTCAAAAAGTTAAGCAGATTTGGATCTGTTTATTGGATGAAACTGCCAGAAAATCCAGATAAAATCTCTATCTAGATTGGCAAGTAATAAATTCCCAGCAGAAGGCAGCGGCAAACCATTTGGATGTGTCCATGAAACCATCAAAGTTGTCTCAACTTGAGAGATTTCGTATTTCATAGAATCAGAGTTCTTGCCAGTCATGCAATGCAAAGCTGCAACAGTACAGATCCATTAGAACATTTCTAGAAATAAATTGTTATTTGACATTTCATATATTGCTTGTGAAATCTGTGAAAGTAGTAACAACTGAAAAAGAGAATGGACTTATTTAAATAAACTTTGTGAATACTTAATGTTTAAAGTGAACACATTTTCTAGTTTTTATAACTGTGACGATAGTTTCTATAGTTGGCAGAAGATTATTTCTGAACCATATTTTGACTTAACATGAATGCTGAATTTTAAAAGCCAATAATTTTGTAACAGACACTGAAGCTTTTGAAGTGGAACAACCTGAGTTCTAAAAATTCAGCATTCATGCCAAGTTAAGATGTGGTTCTAAAACTCAGGTTAAAGAATAATGTGTTCAAAAATGGCTCTATGAGAAAAAAAATCTAAAAATTATCAGTAGTTTTAGTATGTAATATTAGCACAAACTGCACCTATCTTTTAGTGGAGAGCAGCTGGTCCTTTAAATCACAAATCAGCCTTATCTGCCCAGGGGGAATTGCCTGATCCCTAAAATAAAGGAAAGGGGTGTTCTGTCAGGTTTTCAGCAGGAAAAGGACTGGTGCCTTTCGAGAGAGTTTGCTGGACTTACATGAGGGGCTTCTTCAGACAATGATTAGAAATTGTTTTGGCTGCAGTTGGAATTGGGATAGGATTAGGGCGTTAAATATTTAACTGGGTCTTGTGTCTGTGGAACTTTATCTTCTTTTGGCACCCATAATAAAGTGGATTTATAATTAAATCCTGGAGTTGTCTGCCTGACTTCTAGGGCTCACCTCAGCTTGGCTGAACTACTGATTTCCTGAAATTTCATTTGTTTTCACTTTCGGTAGTTTAGTAGCCAGACCAAAGGTATGATGAGAATTTACCCTGAAGTCCTGGTTCACCAGAGGATTAGTGTGGAAGGATGAATCTGGTTTATATTATATGTTGCATAATGGCAGCAACTTTTCAAGACCTGTTCACCCCCAGGCACAGGTGACTCAGAACTGAAAATGCTCGAAGGGAGGGCCTAATCCAACCGCGAGGATGCTTTCCTGTTACAGCCTGATTTTCCACAATTGTATCACCATCATAACTTTCCATCACTTATTTCAAAAATTTCATGGACACCTTTTTTCTGGATTTTTCATTTGGGGCATAGAAGACATAAATTTTACTTGTGTAACTGAGTATAATCATTGAATTGGATCCAGCTTTTATTTTGCTAATGTAGGCAACATAGAATTCCTCTCCGAATGTTCTTATTATAGAAGAGGAATACTGTAATTTTTGTATAATACTGTATACACCATTTTGGAAGTTCCCTTCCAAATGGATTTTCTGTGGGCATAGGGCACTGCCTGGGGGCAACAATGAGGAAGATTGCTGTCTTTTTTTTTTTTATCCAAACTTTGCCCTAGTTCACCTTTCTGCCTGGTGTCCCAGTGAGTGGATGATTCTGTGTGAGTGGTAGGTGCACACTCGCAGCTCCATTTGCACCATTTGCCGCCCACGCAGATCAATTCTGAATGGGTGGCAGCTTAGGGCCCGGAGGTTGGGGATTCCTGTCCTAGTTGATCAGAAGACTTTCACAGATAGCACTCTTGTGTTAGAGAGATCTGTCTTAACAAAGTTCTTCAGTCCCGTGAAAATTATATTTGAATTAATAATTTGGAAAAAAAAATCATAACTTTTTTTTACAAAGCAGCTGAATGCAAGTTTTATTTTTATTTCTATCACCCTCATCTCAACAAGGGTCTCTGGCAGTGAACATTATAAAAAAATAAAAACAGTTAAAATAGAGGATGCATATGTAGTATTTCCTTGACACAATTTAAGATCTCAACTTACAATAAACACTGCAATTGTTTATATGCACAGGTTTTATATGCACCATTCATTCACAAAATTCAATAGAAATGTAAGTATATCTGAACTTGACATAACATTAACTGGAAGTGGCTTTTAAAATATTATTATCCTTTGATTCATAGCTTTAGAAATTTGGGGGTGATGTTTATAGTATCTTCTTTGTGATAAGAAAGTGTGTTCTGGACAGTTTCCCAGAAGAGTTTTTTTTAAGGTTTGTTTTTATCAGGGTTACAATTTGCTAATATACATAATGGGCAAACAATATATCAATATGAGTTAATAGCTTTTTAATATATCTGATCACTAAATCATGTTGTCTTTTGTAAACCGAGAACTACAGACTATAGAATCCAGTAGCCATATGCTTGGTGTCAACAAGCACTCCTTAGGAACAAAAGAGAGGTTAATCAGAAATCCAGATCCCAAACTAATGCAATAAAAGTTTTAACATCTATATTAAACTTGTGCCAGTACTATGGAAGTAACATCCATATGTTTCAGAAAGAACCCAAAGCCTAATTCAAATTTACTTTTGCACAAAATTAAAAAGGGACAATATGATTTTGGGTATTATTTATTCAGCTTCATGAACTTACATGGAATTGTTTTCTCAGGGGATGCTGCTTATTAAGTCCACTAAACCATATTAGCATTTCCAGAAGTCACTAAGTTAGCATTGAAAAGATAAAGACTGTAGTTCAGACTAAACTGCAGCTACTTTAGTAATGTTAATCTCAGTGTAGCCTGCTTTTCTGAAATAGATGCACTTCGCCCTGAAGGTATTTTCTAAAATCCTAGTCTAACAACAACAACAAAATAGTCCTGGATATTTTTTAGACAAACACAATGGACTTTAATCTGGTAAAATGTAATTGCAGGCAACTTCATGTTTGGGATGTTCCGTTATGTTTTTTTTTAAAGGAAGTTCTCATGATACAGAATTTTACCTCTGGATACTATTTCATTTTCATGAACTGTTCTGAGCTAGAAGCTGGAATGATAGAATTATTAAGGGAGTTAGAAAGTGGGAAGAGTTTGCCATCTAGTAAGTTGGAGTTTTAAGGCTAGCCATACCCTCCTCCTTTACCCTACAGCAATTATTTTACAAATGCTCATTTGTCAAATATTTTCTGCTTAATATGTTAGTTAATAGTAAAGGAGTACATTAGAATAAAAAATGCATGACTTGAATAAATGAGTTATTGTGGTTGCTGAAACTAACACACAAACTTTGTTGTATTTTGAGATCCAAAGTAGCTTATGTGTATGATAAGACATTCTTTACAATTTCCATATCTATAGTTCCACAGACAGGCTATGGAATTATAATAGCTGAGATGATACATTTGATTTAGTCACAAACAAATCATAATGCACTGTTTGTGAGCCCATTTATGAGTTTGATTAAAAATTAAAATAAGTTTTCATGGGAAAATTTGGAAAAAAATATTTTTGAAATGCCTAAATCTTGATAGCAGTGAATATGTATAATCAACTATTTAGAATTTCAGTAAAGGTAAACATAGCTATAGGAGGAGCCATGGTGACATAGTGATTAGAATTAGTAGTGCAGTATTTCAGGCTAACTCTGCCCACAGCTAGAAGTTTGATCCTGACCGGCTCAAGGTTGACTCAGCCATCCATTCTTATGAGGTGGGTAAAACGAGGACTCAGATTGTTGGGGGCAATATGCTGAGTCTGTAAACTGCTTAGAGAGGGCTGTAAAGCACTGTTAGGCAGTATATAAGTCTAAGTGCTATTCCTATATTTTCTGTGAGGAGCAGAAGTGGCATGTTTTTATGGAATTGAAAACAAAGTATCTTTTGATATATAATTGTTTTTTGTTTTTGTAAATGTTACAATTTAGATGCTATCAGCAATAAATCTGCTTTGCATCTATGGTAGCATTGTGACCAATATTTCTTAAGTGAAACTCGTAGGAAATATATACTATATGTACTTTTGAATGTCTAAGTTGCATATTACTTTAAAGCTCTTTAAATAGAAATTAACCAAAATTGAGAGCCAGTTTGCTCTAAATAGTTAAGACTCCAGGCTAGAAACTGGGAGACTATGAGTTTTCGTCCTGCCTTGCCGTGAAAGCCAACTGGGCGATTTTGGGCAAGTCCCTCTCTCTTAGCCAATCCACTTCACAGGATTTTTGATATGTGAAAATAAGAGGAGAAAAGAGCATTAGGCATGTTTTTATCACCTTGAATCACTTACAAAGTAATAAAGGAAGAATATAAGTAAATAAATTCAATGATAATAAAAATAGTTTGTGAATAATAATCACATATACCTAATCAGTCTGTAGATTCTATACCAGCTGGAATTGCTTGTCCATCTTCAGGAGGAAACTCCCTATAAAACTTATATTCAGCTGCAGTTATAAACATATTCTTGGTGGCTCACAATATATTATAGCAGCAGTTCACTTTAGCTAAATTCATACATTGAATTAAGCAAATTTACCGATGTCAAAGAACTGGGATCCAACCATATTAGAAACAACTTTATTTAAAAAAAATAGCACTTTTTATATTTCATTCATGGTAAGTTTTAAACACATAAAGTTGAAATTATTCTGCATCCCACCTAGACCAGTTATGGTCCATGATGCCTGGTTGACAATTACTGAATTAAACCATAATAAGGTTTTTTTAAAATGTTGCTTTAATTTGTGAACCCAATCCTTGTGATTTGTAAACCAAGACCTACAATTTACTGCTAGGTGTAGACCAGGTCATGACAGCATTTTAAACACTTTGTGAATTCAATCAGCCTAAAGAAAAAAGTCTACCAGAAGACAGTGCTGTAGATTAAATTTCAGCCTGGTTGTTTTCATAGGAAGTATCCCTAAATGATCCTATGTAGCATTTAAAAAAATTACTGGCAGCCTATGGTAGATGTAATAAAGCTAGATGCTGTTAGCCTATGCTGTTTCAAATTAACACAATGCCCCAGATCTGAAGATGAATTTATATTACGTTAAGGGCAAGGGTGAAAAGAGCCCTGTAGAACTTTATAGGATGATTCACATATGACTCGAATTTGAGGAATTTATTATGAGCTAGGGATGGGAAAGCTCTTTTAAGGCTGAAGCGGTGCTGAGTTTTGGTTGGATAGTTGAGGTCTAATCTTCTTTTGTTCTGATGTTATTCCAGCAACTCAGGCTGGCATCTGCAGAGGTAGTGGGAACTGCTTTATCATATACCTCTTAGCAACTTGGCACAACTGCTAGCAAAACCTCAGAACAAAAGAAAAGCATACCACAGTCACCCAGCCTGAAAGCTCATCATTGCTTCATTGGTGCTAGTCATGAAAACACAACAATATCTCTCTCGAGGCTGTCCCCTAAGAGATAAGCCCAAAGAACTGAAAAGTATTAAGGAATCCAGTAGAATCAACGGATTAATATTATACCACGTCTAGCTGTAGGTATACCTCTAGCTATTGATTTGCACTACAGCGTAGTTTTTACAGCGTACTTTTAAAAGGAAGGCAATGAAAGAGTGATCTCCATGCTCTCTGAGCTTGTTTGCAAATATTTCATTGCCCAACTGGCTACACAATTTATGTTACCTAGTTGAGTAATGAAACAGCAAGCAAGGAAGCTCAGAGCACCAAGAACTCCAAGGTCTATCCATGAGATAAAACTAATTGTCCTCGATTAACAGTGGTATTATTTGGAGACAGTTTGACATGAGAAGGAATATTTAAAATTCCAAATGTAGGTACTTATTAGAATTTTTGTCCCAGACAGCAGTTGAATTTATTGGCTACAAGATGAAGATTAAAATAATAAAATAATAAAACCAGTATTGGTTGTGATCAGCATTGCATTAGGTACAAGCTAATATAAATGGACCTTTTGATTCTTCACTTCTGTTGAAAATATTTGGAAGAAAGTACAATTGGCCTAATATTTTTAAGTGACAAAATTAGACAAAATAATTCTCAGTGTTTATAAGGCAGTATTATTATATTTAGTTAATATACTTCTAGGGACTAGTAGTAACTAATCTCATAAAGGATAAGCTGTAATAGTGTTTTAAACAGAGTGTATTTTCTACCCACAGATAATCTCTCCTACTGCATTATTTTTGGCTGCAAAAGTAGAAGAACAACCACGGAAACTTGAACATGTTATCAAAGTAGCACACGCTTGCCTTCATCCTCTAGAGCCCCAGCTGGACACAAAGAGTGATGTATGTTTATATAGAGATTTAATCTTATTTCAGTCTATAAATCTGAAGAGGAATTTGCCTATTGTTTCTTTTTCAAATGAAGATTTACATGCTATCTCTTTCATTGTTAATTAACAAAAAATATCTGTTTATTGTTTTTCCATTTTGAGAAATTTAAATGCAAATGTAATGCACATCTGCTTAACATTCTACCATTCTTAAAAAGTATTAGAAATAGGCTATCACATTAATCATCAGGAAACTAATATACTTTTCATTGGGGAAAAGTCTTCCAACTAAGGAGGGGAATTTTGTTAAAATGCGATAGTAATTATTAACATTTTCTGTGACAACTTGTGCAATTGTAAAAAAAAAGATGTTTTTTTCTTATTCTCTGCTAATTTGCTGTCAATCTACGTTAATACTAAAGTATATTAGTTGTAAAGAAATAAAAAGGTCTTTAGAGCATTGTGTGTTTTTCAGAACAATTTTTATTGAACTTTAAAAATGTGAAGAAAAAAACGAATACAAACTGAGAAAAATGTTTAAAAAGTACAGAGAAAAAAGGAGGAATGGGGAAATTGAGAAAAATATATAAAAAGTGGAAAAAGAAATGATTTCCCTCTTTATCAGGAAAGTAGAAGCAATTTCACTAACTTAATTTTTTTTCTAACATTTCAGCCAAAAATCTCTTCACCCCATATCTCATCTTTTAGCAAATAATTAAGTCTCATCATTCAGTCTTAATCAGCAAATGCCCATTAAGAATTACTAGAAATAACATTATAAGAAATCACAATGTATTTTAACTTTAAACAAATTAATTTTGTATTCATTTCATTTATTTTACAGTATCTTATTTGTCTCTTAAAATACAAAAAAAAATCTTTTTCACATATCTGATGTCTATAAACAAATCCTTAAAGCTTCATTATTCAAAGTTAATTAAGAAAAATTGCATCAGGAGCTACTAGAAATAACATATTGAAATTTTTAATCTTTAATCTCTTCAATGTCCCGCACATTAATTTTATCCTCTTTGTTTCCTTTCAATTTTAATACCACAATTTATTGCTTTCCCTAAAAATATAACAAATATATTTTAGATATTTATTAATATCCCAAAAACTGATCTTTTTTTCCTCTGTTTATCTTTTGTCAGAAATTTCTTGTAAGTGTAACACATATCTTGCAAATCCAAACTAAGAAAGTTATCGAAGTTATCTTCTGATTTGAAATCTGCATGTCCAAATTATTTTCCTTGTTTATTATTTGTGTGTACCTTTCCGCTAACCATCAGCTGGTTTTCTTGGTAAGATTTGTATCATTGTCAGCATCATTGTTTTGTATCCTGTCAATTTTAATCCGTATGCAAAACAGCCTGATTCTCTGGTTCAAAAGATGACTCTCATTCAAAGGCTCATACATTCTTTTGTATCTTTTGTTTTGAACCTGTTTTATAGTATCAAACAATCCTAAGAGAAAGTTCTGGTACTTTGTTGCAAAATATCATTGAATTATTCCAGAGGTGAAATACTTTTTTTTCCATTATGTATTTGTGAGTTTTGTCCCTTAATTGTCATCTTTAGGGTATTTTTTGGTTGCCTCTAATAACCGGCATTCAAGGTCTCTGCCTATATTTTTCTCTAATCCACAACACTTTCCCAGGGAAATGTTTCTTATACTTACATTCAAAATCTTCATATATTTTTAATAGGATTTTTTTAAAAAACACAGAAAGTATTCTTAAAATTATTTCAAAATCCTATTTCAAGTGAATCTTTCCCCTTTGTCCATGTAAAAGCTTTCCAAAATTAACATTTTAATCACTCTTTTGCTATTTGTTTCCAAATAAAAAAGGGTTTTTTAAAGTTTTAAACTTCCATTAAACTTCTTTCGCTGAGGATTGAAGGAAATCAGACAGTGTAGTCAAACTTGTCTTTCTGAAAGTTCTTAACATCTAAAACTCAAGCATTCCCAGTGAAAGTGATTAAGAAAGGACATGGTTGAACCCAGTGTCCATTTGAAGGCTTTGAACTGTGACTTGGGCAAACCTGATTCTTCCAGCTCCCATATCTCTGAAACCTGATGAAGACCAGTCTCATCATAGGGAGCATCTGTATGGAAAACCCTTCATCCAGAGAGGAATTTTGGGATCTCTGCTCTCATGGAGCATTTTGGCATTGCTTCCCCAGAAATGAATACTTTATTTAGCTGAATGTGATTAGACATATAAGGAATTTATCTCCAATACAGAAGCACTCAATGTACTTGCAAAGCAACACAGAAAGTAATAGTAATAAGAATGATTGGAATAGTATATGTTTTTCCTATTCCTCCATTCCATGCTATTTTGGAAAATAATACCTGAAGAAGAATGAGTTGTTATGGTTGTCATACAATGCTGGAAGCAGCAGAAAACATAAGAGGAAATGTTGTGAACCCTAAGCTCTGCATCCCATCGGGCTAAAATAAAATTGGAAAGTAATATTTGAAATAATGGTAGGTGACAAGGGATCTCAGAGTGCAGTTTAGCTTGGCGGTGGCTTTTTGGGGCACCTCACTGCTAGTGGCTGCTTTGTGCTGCAGTGCAGCTTAGGGACTTTGGGCTGTGCTGCTAAGGCTTCCAGGAGTGATTGCTGCAGCTCGAGGGCTTCTTAGAGCCCAGACCCACAGTGTGCCAAAAACAAAACAAAACACTAAGCTACAGCATATTCTTTCACTGATCTTGTACAGCACCACCACACTCCCCCAACTCCTGAGAATTGAACTTGGACACACACGCACGCACGCGCACACACACACACACCAATGCCCTCCTCATTCCCCTGGAATATCCCTCCACTCTTCACTTGGGACTTTTCTACTTCCCATTTAACATCCATGTGTTTGGAATTACAACAGCTAGCACTGCATTGCCATCGCTAAGCACTTTACAACTGCATTGTTTAGCAACAGAAATTCCAGTCCCAATTGTGTTGGTAAGTTGAGGACTACCTGTACCTATTTGGGAAAATAGACATTTTTGAATTAAAACTGTTCTGTTTTCTGCCTTTGTGATTCTTAGCTGCTTCAGTTTTTGTGACCTGATCAAATAATGTACTTAAAATAAACCCATCAAGTCTTTTTGAAACCATTCTTGGTACTATTAACATGTTAAAGTTATATTAATATGTCAGAATTTGTTTCCCAATTTTTAGGCATATCTTCAACAGGCCCAGGAATTGGTTATACTTGAAACAATAATGCTTCAAACTTTAGGTAAGCATAGTAAATGCATACAATTCTTACATTGTACTTCCAATAATGGAGTGCCTATTTGTTTAATTATTATTATTATACTAGCACATTGTACATTTTTATTAGTTCAAAGAATATTCAGTACAATCAATGTAAATTTTGTAACTTAATGACATTGAATAAAATTTAAAGATACAGTTATGAGAACATATAGTTTCTGAAATAATACATTTAATTTTTCAGGTTTTGAGATTACCATTGAGCATCCACATACAGATGTTGTGAAATGTACGCAGTTAGTGAGAGGTCAGTAACTATTTTGACTGATTCTTTTTTTCCATCTGACAAGGGTGATAGTGATGGTGTGACTTAACTAAATTATTTGTGGAATATTATTCTTGTGACTAAAACACTAGAGTATTCAAATAAATTTTGGTTTATTTAGTTCAGTAAATGTGCTTAAAATAAAAGAATTATAAATTATAAGCTATTTTTTTCCATTTTAAACTTATCAAACTCAAAATTGACAGCTAGTTCTGAAATTAGCATATTTAATCCAAAGTACCATTTGAATACCAAAGTAAATTTACACATTGTCCTGGTATATCTGACAACTGTAGCAGCCAGTTACTATACTTTTAGTCTTTAGTCCTTCATAACATTCATATAATACCACATGATAAGAAAATACACTTCCACTTTTTTTTCATCTTCCTTGTTGCTGCATAGAAAGTTTATTACTGGAATTGTTTGCAACTGTATATATTTGTTTTGTAGTGAATTTTATTTTCACAACATTGTTTAACTTCTTTTTGTAATCAGTTTAATTAGATTTAATTAATGTCTGACTTAGTATTTCTCAGCCTTGACAACTGCTTGGCTGTGGAATTCTGGGAGCTGAAGTTCATACTTCTTAAGATTGTCAAGGATGAGAAATACTGGTCTAATATGCATGTAGGTTATTTCCCCCCCTCCCCCACAGGCCAAAATCTTAGTATCAAAGGATTAAACATAAAGTGGTCACTTTAGTTTAAAAACTGTGATTTGCAACTTGATATGCTATATGAAGTCAGCCAGTTAATCCCTGGTTAATCCATCCACAAATGTATTAATTGTTCTAAATATTTGTATGTTTAAAAATATCCATTTCTAGAACGATCATGTTCATTCATTTGAATGTTAATCATTTTTAAGGAAAAAAAGTAATGGTGTGATATGTCATCTTTCATTAATATATATCACACTCACATATGTTCAAATGATACCTGCATTAGAAGACTGCAGCTTGTGTAAATTAATGCTGGATTGTGGCAGCACTGTTTTATACTTGTTTTTATTTTATAGTAGATGTCATTTTGTGAATATTTTCTCAGAGATTGAAATAAGCACCTATCTTATTTTTATCTTTCTTATTTAGAAATACAATAAGAATTCACTGATGTTTCTATTATTGATTTTGGAAACATGTCTGAATTGGTTCAACTAAATGCCAAACCTTCCCTTAATTTGAAATAAATGGCATAGTCAAGTTGCAAGAAAACTCTTTAAAAAGCAGCTCATGTACTGATCATTTTAGGATAATTTTGAGAGAAAAAAGATATCAACTCTCTGCTTTTGTTATATAGGGATTTATAAAAGCATTAAGGACAGTCATTTCAAAAGTAAACATAAGTTTTAAAAAACTGTTCATCGGTTGTTTTCATTGAAGGAGAAATGATTGTGCTTCCCCCCCCTTTTGCTATTTTTTATTTTATACATCCACAAAACAATCTTTAAACTTTAAAAAAGGACAATTCCAAAAAGAAAAAAAAATCTAATCTATGCTTTATATTTATCAATAGTCACTGATTTTATGTTCACACTGATCCCCCTTCAGGAACATTTGATAAGCTAAATCTTCTAATTCTGCCTAGCCAAGACTTTTACTGTGTTTACATGCCACAAACATAATTTGCTATGCGGGGTTTCAAGTAAATGTGAATACAAAATCTTTCACTATAGTAATATGAGTTGAGCATTGGTTAGAACTCAGTTTTTGGACATGGCTAATACACATTTTTTTAATAATACACCTTGCCATGGAAAACCTTTAAACCATGGCAATTTCATTTTAATAACCCAGTAATGGCTCCTACAGAATTTAATGAGACATATTGCCAGATAATCCAGATTATCTGCAGGTCTACAAGTGTTCACTGCCCTTTTGGTTTTCTCTACACCCAAGCTTGGGCTTCAAATGCAATTGATGGTATTCTAGCCATTCTCATGGTATTCTGGTCCCTTGTGACAGTTTTGGAATTAATGAAGGAGAATAACTGGAATAAAAGAATCCCTAAAAAGAGCAGGATGGATACTATGAAATGCTACATATGTTGAATGAAACACTCGGTTTTAAATTTGAAACAGTCTGCTTTAATTATTCAGTCTTTTTATAAGTATTTTTAGTCTTTTGACCTTTAAATTCTTCCAAAAAGATCCATATAGACTATTTTAGACACCGCCCACCGGTAGAATTTGCTCATTTTTGAGGCAGTTTATAGTTTTCATGAGCAAATTGTGAGTATAATTTGTAGCACTTTGAAATAACATGGTTTTTCCATACTATTGTTGAATGTCCTGTTTAAGAGAAAATTGAAAATTCATAATAAAATGTAACTTATTTCAGGGGACATTAGCAACCATTAATATTTCTTTCCATTGTAAAACTACATGCATCTTATTAAATTTATTTGCCATCCATTTTACAATCACACAACTCTGAGCAGTTTGCAATCTGATAAAATAGAAAAGATTCAGAAAAGTAGCTAAGATAGGAGAGCCTTACAGTGGAGTAAGGAGGTGAGAACTTGGATTTAATCTAATAACCACATCCAGCAAAACACTTCCTATTTGGACTCCAGGCCAAGCAGCAGAACCAGATTGTAAGATTCTTACAGAAGGCCAAAAGGATGGGGGGGGGGGGCAAACCTTGCATCGAGGGCTACTGTGTTGCTGCAGGAAAGTCTCTTAGCTAGAATTCATTGAGCCAGTCAGGATCAAACTGCTGGCAGTGGCCTGCAATACTGCATTCAAACCACCGCACCACCACTCTTTTAAAACACCCTGATCTTAAATTCATGTGATTTTCATATTGTCAAATTTCCAAATCTAGGTATAAAATATTGGTTATTTTGTTACATGGACATAAATGGTTTAAATCCACATTATTGAAGAGCTATACTATATTATCTTTAAAGTGTATTAATATCTGATGCAGAGGCTCTCTTCTAGGCTTTACGATGAGAAATTCAAATTTCTTGACCTTTTTTTCTCAGTGACACATATTTAATATTTAATTGAGTTAATGTCACTTTTCATGTTTATTTAATTTTCTCTGAAATTTTACTAATTACCCATATTAAATGTTTTTAAGAAAAAGTACAGGTAGTCCTTGACTTATGGCAGTTCATTGAGTGACCGTTTGAAGTTGCAATATCACTGGGAAAAAAAGTGATTTAGGATTGTTTTTCACACTTACAACCATTGCAGGATCTCCAAGATCACACAATCAAAATTCAGGCCCTTGACCACTGACTCATATTTATGACAGTTGCTGTATCCTGGGGTCATATGAGCCTCTTTTGCGACCTGACAAAGTCAATAGGGAAGCCAGATTCATTTAACAACCCTGCTACTAACTTAACAACTGCAGTGACTCACTTGTCAACTCTGGCAAGAAATGTCATAAAGTGGGGCAGAATTCACTTAACAGCTGTCTTACTTAGCAACATAAATTTTGGGCTCAATTGTGGTTCTGTAAATTGAGGGCTACCTGTAAATGGTATCTATAAAATATTCACTTAACTTTTAGTATAGATTGAATTCTTGAGGAACAATTATGTTTGCATAACTAATTATTCCATCAGTCCTTCCCTCCACCTGCTTGAGGCCTGCCCTGGTCACTCAAAACTCAGACAATGGAGAAAAGGACGAAGAGAAGTGCATTTTCATTGCCTAAATAGAAGTCAAGTCTGTTTGCAACATTCTTATTGCTTCTTTAGGAAAAAAAATCCTTTTTACATTAAATATAATTCAGAGTTAATTTACATTTGAAGTTAATTACATTAAAGTACACTGCAGATTGAATTTGAACCTGAACATCCAAAAATGTAGCCTTTTGGGGGGAGATTGTTTGCTGTAAAAGAAGTAAGTCAGCGTACATAATCCTGACTTAATTTTACATTGTGTTTCAATATCCCTTGAATACACAAGGGCATGTTTTCCCTCACTGTGGCAGAGAATGTCCTTTGAAAGCAAAAGGGAATCTTCTGTTGAATGTACTGTTTACACTTCCTTATTGGCAACACTTGTTCTGTAGATTGAATAATATAAGCAATTACATAATTGACATGTCAGCCTGAAATTATGCAAATATTCCCGTTAGTGGATTTACCAGAAACAGATGTAATTTGTCTTAGCCATCATGTGATATAAGAGAGAATGTATTCTTTTGGCCTCACTTTTAAAGAAACAATTAGTTTTCCTGATGGAAAGAATGAAAATGTTGGGCAGTATTGGGTAATTTTTTTTGCAAGTGGGAAGCTTTTGAGCATCATATACATGGCATTTTAATTATAAAATCATTGTTACTGATGGCTAATTATTTTTCTTTCTTACAGCAAGCAAGGATTTGGCACAGACATCCTATTTCATGGCTACCAACAGGTTGTTATCCTGAACCTCTTTGTTGCACTGTTGTAGCACACTATAGCTTCCTTTACTGCAGGGCCCCCTACCTGTGTCTAACCCTTGTTGCAACAGGCGACTGGGCTGTCTACTGTGGTGGTACCTTCCTGTTTGCAGTGCGGTGTATTGTACAAGGGCCTAACGGCACAAAGGGGTTAAATGCACGATGTGAAGTGTAGTGGTGCTTTCTGGTGGCATTTTCTCGATTGTGAGTGCCTAAGTCTAAAATTGGTAGCCTGAATAGCAGCTAAAGATTACAGAGAGATAAACTTAACCTAGAAATCCGAGCTTCTTGGTAAGTACAAAGCTGTTTCTAGTTTACCCTTGTAGTTAATGGCAATTTTTTTCTTCATAAAAATATCAGTGTTTTTTTTTAATGAAATTAAGGCATTAGTTAAAATACGTTTTTAGTTACATTAGAACCAGCTTAAATATTTCTCATTGCAGAAGTTATCTGGTTCTGTAATGTAGTTATTGTCTTTTTTTAAAGCCCTGTTTACTACTTAACTGGTCAAATACTGTCCAGTGAGTCTTCAGACTTAAATAAAAATAAAATACAGCAGTGAAAATGAGTGTTATCTTGGTAAATATATCAGAAGAGAAAGGCAGAGCAAGGCAGATATTTAAAGCTAAGAAGCACAGCATAAAGCACATAGCAATTCATTTGGTAATTTTGTGGGTAAAATATTTTTTAAAATTGGGAAATACCATAGTTTAGATTCTAACTTCGTGTTTCTGCCTTGAGACAATGAAAGAAGAAAACAAAAGAGAGCTAGAAGTGGATTAGCATGTATGTAACAAATTAAAATGGGATTAAGGATTTCATCTGGAATATTATAAGAAAAAACAACCTGGGGGGGGGGGGGGAATGAGATATCCTGGAAACTTTGAATTCAATTAAAATATTAAACATAATAAAAGGGGAAAGAAAGAATCAGCAAGCTTCATTAAAGTAATAGGGGTGAATGAAAGTGTGGTTCCAATGTTAAATGTCACTTGATTATCTTAAGAAGTTACAGTAGTTGTGTGGCTGAAAGGTGGAAAACTTTGGTGACTTCTCCAGAGCTATTTTTGGAGTGTTTGAAATGAAAGATATTATTTAAAGAATAAGATTAACATTATTTTATGTAAAAATGCATGAACAGATATATACACATAATTTGGGCAAAAGAAATTAATTGGGGTTGATATATATAGTTGCTATTCTAACTAATCTTTTTCAAGGCTATTTTAGAATATAAAATTGGCATAAATTCATTGTTTCTAAAACAATAGCAATTAATACATGCTATATTTCCAGGCTGGATTTGAAGATAAAAAATCAGTTTTTCCTTACTTGATAGCTTAGTTATTATCTCAATGATTTTCAAAATAAAACATCAACAACAATGCAGTAAAATCTAGATGAGCTGATTTTTTGCAAAAATGTTATATGCATTAATATTTTGGCTCTTTTCAATATTAAGATGTATGTTTTAAATGTAAATAATATTTCCATGTGTTTAACACGAGAAGCAATAAATTCTATTTACATATCTTAAGACTTATTTTTTTATAAAGTCCAAAATTTAAAACTTCAAAAACAATTCTATCCATAACAGTTGCCTTGAATATATGTTGACAAATTCTTTCCCCTTGTTTTTTGTCTTTTCCATGACTGACACTTATTCTTCCATTATGAAACATTCCCGACCACAGTCTGCATCTTACTACATTTTGTCTTCAGTACAAGCCAACTGTGATAGCATGTGTATGTATACATTTGGCTTGCAAGTGGTCTAACTGGGAAATCCCCGTATCAACAGATGGAAAACATTGGTGGGAATATGTGGATGCTTCTGTAACTTTAGAATTACTCGATGGTAAGTAATACCAGCTTTCCTACATTGTTTTAAAATAATTAACTGCTTTGATTATGATATGCTATGTTAACATTAAAGTGTATTAAGGTGATATTGGCTAATTTATACATTGTGTTTAGTTTCCTGAAGACTAAAGTTTGATCTTTCAGAATGTAATCTGAGCCATCTTACTAGAGTTTAATTAAGAATGTTTGGGTTTCATGTCAATTGAGCTGCTGGCTTGTTCTTGTGTAGTGGAGTTTTCTATCACCATCTGTGCTGCCTTCAGATTTCAGACCACAATCTTTCTGCAGCACATTTTAAGAAGGATATTCTGGGAAAATATTCTGCCAGATGATGTGATTGCATTAGTGGAATGATGGTATAGATACAGTTACAAAACTAAATATAAAAAAACCTATCTGTTCGGGGTTTAAATGATATGAAATACCAGATTCAGAACAAGCCTATTAGCCAAGTGAAGAGGTACAAAAATTTTGAACTTTATGATAACCATAACAATCTAACGGTCATTTTTAAAGTTCAGAGTTTCGTAGATGCAGATTTAACAAGAGGAAGTAAGTTGCAGTCATCCGACCAAAAGTGTTTTGGTATTCTGATTGAAAATAATGTGTGGAGAGTCAGTCTGGCTCTTTGTATTTTTTATGTTTTGCTGGTCTTTTCAGTTAGTTGCCACCTCCAACAGAAGAGGACATCCTGATTTTTTTTAAAAAATACTAAATTAATTTTAGCCAGTTCATTAAAATGCAGATTCTCAGATGGTGAGATCACCACTTCCAGGGTGATCATGAGCATTTACAGTATATGGATGCCTTTGCTGAATTGCTGGTGGTGGAAACGGCTATATGGGTTGCAGAGTTCTCTGTGAATACTGTAGCCTTTGCACTCAAAGATTGGCTTCTGCAGCAACCCCAACCTCTCATCTAAGTTTATCTAGCAGGTAGCAGTTCTATCATGCCAGCTCACACAAACAGAACTAATTGGAAGAATTAACTCTGTCAAATAGGCCATTTGGGGAGGAAAATTTTTTGGGAGGTAGGGCTTTGTAATGGTCTGTTTTCAAAAGCAAGAAAATTAGTGTGGAAAATTTAGTTCTTACCTACCTACCTAATTACCTCTACCTACTTATCTACAGAAGAAAATGTAACAATATAAAAACAACACAAATATTAGAAAAGAAACAAAAAAAATGAAGACTAGTGTATAAGTAAGAAAGAAAATGAGAAATAAAAAAGAAAATTGTTGTATGATACCCAGGGTCACTTTGTGTGAGATGTTACAAAGAAACCCCTCTCTCTCTAAGGATACATCGTAATTTCATTCTTTCCATAAGATATCCTTTTCTCTTACTGTCTAATTAAAACCACTATCCATCCTGAGAGACAGGTTTTGTCTTCTTATTTATTTTACTTTGGAACTTTTTCCTCTGGAATCATCAACTGCAGAGTCCATCTAGAAATTGTAATTCAACCTTTAAACAATGAATTAAACCTAGATCATAAGGAATTATATTATACAGTCTTGTTTCTCCATAAATACAAAAGGGATTCAGCTGAGAGTTAGCTGAGAGATAGCTAATTTCTTTAAGGCAGCATTTAGACTCGGGGTTATTTTCCATGAATATATAATTCTGTGTTTTCCATAGTCTTAGCACTAGTCAACACTCTTCATATGTTGTTAAGATTTCAGAGGTTTAGGATATAGTTTAACAGAACATTGACACTTTAATCATTAACTGCTTTTGAAGAATCTGGTTCAGCGTATCAGTAATTCTTAACCAATATGGTATTACAAGTTGTCAAGACCATAACACACATACCAAAGTTGGTTGAAATTTGTTATTTCTTTAGTATATAAATAATGAGTTAATTTTTTAAACAACATTCCTAGACACAAGTACTAATGTTGCCTATATTTTTCTGTTTTATTGTGTACTACTACAGAATTTTTACTTTCTGAAGACTACAGAAATCTAATTTTTCTGTAGTTTGTAGTCTTTGAAAAAATACTGTGTAAAAATGAAAAATCTTGTTAATATAAAGCAAACAGTAAATGTAATGCTTACTACTGAGAGTACATTTTAGCAGTGATTGTATAAAAAGACATATTGTCCTGCTTTCCATATAGCATTGGAACACAACCAGTAATTGAGTTCAAACATCAAGCTATGATAAAACAAGTGATATTAAGCCTTAACATGCTCAGTGTGATCAATGTTTAAGCAATGAGGACTTGCAGCTCCACCTGCCAATATTTGGGGGTTGGGGATTGGTGATGCTGTGATATTAATGGAAGGAGAATACTCAACATTTTAGAAGCCTCTCAAAAATTACCCAAATTTTGCTTGAGGGAAAGCCCACAAGAAACATTTTCAGTGACACTCTAAAAAACAGGCTAACATGGCAACAGTGATACCTAATTTTTAAATCTTGGGGTGCAGAAGGAAGGGCTAATATGTGTCACATGTTGTCCACTTTTCCTGCAGTATGTATTAGAAAAAAGTGCCTTCATCTCATTCTTTGCATATTCTTAAGCATCGTAAACTTTTATGGGAAGAGATAATAGTTAACAGCAGGTCTTAAACATTAATTTGTGTATGCTTTCTTTGTATAGAGTTTCTATAAAATTGTCCTATTTTTTTCTTAGACTGAAAATTTTCTTAAAGATTTCAGCTAGCAATTGAAATACATTAATTTTACATCTTTTTTCTTTCACAGAGCTAACACATGAATTTCTTCAGATATTGGAGAAAACTCCTAGTAGACTAAAGAGAATTCGAAATTGGAGGGTAAGAATCTCTGGGTAAAGACTGTTGTTGCTAATATGTTAATATGTGTGCCTTGATGTTCTGCTTTAGTTTTCTTGAAGTATTCTGGACAAATCCTAAATAGAATCCAGTGTTACATATTTTCCTTCACTTTCCTTTTTTCTAAATCACCTTATACTTTTTAAATTATCTGCTTGTTTGTTAAGAGACCTGCTGAGCAGATTTTTGAGGATTCATCTTCTTCCCCCAGGGTTCCATTCGGTAATTGGAATCTGCTTCTATTTATAGATACCTGGTATTCCACTTTAAATGTTAAAGTGAACCTTGATGTTCTTAAAACTATTTGAATTTCTGGATAAATCTGTGTAAAATAAATATGAAGCAAAAATGGCAATAAAATTAAATGACTTATTACTCTTCATTGGTGGACTATGGAATATAACTGGGCCACTTCCAACTGATACACAGATTCCTTAGTTCTTGAGGGGTCATTTTTTAGATCAGTGGCCCCCAACCTTTTGGACACCAGGGACTGGTTCCGTGGAGAGAGACTGGAGGGTGTGTGGTTTCGCATGATGCCTGCATCCCACAGATGGGGCTTCACTTATTTGTGTGGCCCGGTTTTTGGCATGCCACGGCCCGATGCTGGTCCACAGAACATGATTGGGAAACTTTCAGGAAGTGTAGGCTGGACTAGTAATTTGAAGAAAACATCCTAAAAGATGATAATGGTAAAGGACTCCATATTGCTATTAAACAAGATTATATGAACATGTTGATGTAGTCTAGCTCACCAGGAAGGAGAGTTTACTGTATAAGCAGATTTCTACTCTTCACCAAGAGGGCTGGTGAATGAAATGTTGGAAATTCTTTATTTTCCCATGTTTTCTAAAATGCAGGACTTGGGATGGGGCCTGCGAAGCAGTATGAAAGATAGTGTGAGGAGTAATGGAATGAAATGGGAGAGAGTGCAAATAATGTTTTCCAAATTTGGATCTTAGCCCCTCTGTTCATAGCATAGGTAATAATTATGCTTACACACTCTGTTCTCTTTGGGAACTGTGTAACCCCCATAGAACTTGAAATGTCCTTAGAGATTGTACAGTTGAGAATAGAAACTGACTTACTCATATGCTCTTACACAGGCTAATCAAGCTGCTAAGAAACCTAAAGGAGATGGCCAGGCATCTGAAAACTCTCTTCTCGGCTCCTCTTTGGTTCAGAATTCCATTTTGGTGGATGCTGTTGCTGGTGTATCTGCAAATGCAAGTTTCCAAAAACCATCAACCTCCACATTTCCTGTCCCAGTTCCTTTGAACTCAGGAAATATGTCTGTTCAAGATAGTCAAGATAATCTGGCAATATTAGCTGCAGGAATGCCAAGTACCTCATATAATTTGTCAACACACCAAGAATGGCCTCAGCACCAAGAACAAATGAGGACAGAGCAATTATATTCTCAGAAACAGGAGACTTCATTGCCAGGTGCTCAGTTCAGCATAAACTATCCACCAAGCTCTTCGTTGCAGTTACATTCCGGATTGCATCATCGGACCGACAAACTCTCTGAGTATTCTATAGCCCACAAAGCAGGACACAAACATGGGCAGGTTGCTTCTGCGCCTGTGATAATGCCTCAGAAAATGTCATTGGATAAATACAGAGAGAAACGTAAGCTAGAAACCCTAGAACTGGATATAAGAGAACACTACATGGGATCCGAGCCTCCCTATAAAAAACACACCCTACCCCAAACAGCAAACAGCAGTTCTGTAACTTCCCCTATTAAAATGAAAATTCCTATTGGGGGTGCAGAGAAACCTGAAAAATACATGGCAGACAAAAAAGACAAAAGTGGTTCACTCAAACTGCGGATACCCATTCCTCCCACAGAAAAAAGTGTCACTAAAGAAGATCTGAAAATGAAAATCAAAGTTTCTTCCTCAGAGAGGCATAGTTCTTCCGATGAAGGAAGTGGGAAAAGCAAGCACTCGAGTCCCCATGTCAGCAAGGAAAAGCACAAGGAACATTCCATGAACCGTCACCATGGTGGCAGTCACAAGCATAGTGGCAGCGGTAAACATGGTAGTGATGGATTAGCCCCAGCTGTTCTGAGGAGTCCTGTTGGTTTGAGCTCTGATGGCAGTGTCTCTAGTTCCGGCTCTTCAAGAAAGAAGCTCTTCAGCAATGATGCTTCTCACAACCATCATTCCAAAATGAGCAAAAGTTCCAAAAGTTCAGGTAGTTCATCTAGTTCTTCCTCTGTTAAGCAGTATGTATCCTCTCTCAACTCTGTTTTTAACCTTCCCTTACCCCCTCCTCCCCATGTCACATACCAGGTGGGCTACGGACATCTCAGCACCCTCGTGAAACTGGACAAGAACCCAGTGGAGAACGGTCCTGATGCCAGTCACGAGTACAGTACAAACAGCCAGCATATGGACTACAAAGACACATTCGACATGCTGGATTCACTGTTAAGTGCCCAAGGAATGAATATGTAATCAGTTGTTTAGATTCCTTTTCCCTTTTTTTAATTTAAGAATATTAGACAAAAAATCATCATCATCTAAGAAGAGCAAATCCAGCAGCTGGTGTCCACTTTATATAGGTATAGATAGATACATATATGTAATTTATACATATATATATATAGATATATATGTATGTATGTATGTTTGTATGTATGTATATATATGTATATATAAGTGCTGCTTTATCTTTCACTCTGAAAAGATTAGTAAATGAGCCTGTCTCCACATATGATAGTGTTATAAATACTCTAATGATACAGAAGGTGCAAAATCACAGTATTTCCACAACCACAGTTAAGAACAGTAGATTAAATGGCTGCTTTTAGCTGTATGGAATGCCTCATGCATTATTTATAATTGACTATGCCAGCCACGATTTTTGTTGCTTAGTGAATGAATGAGTGTAATTTTTTTTTTTTTTGTATTTATACTGTATGTATGATTTGCATGTTTCAAAGAAGGGATACGTAAAGTATACTGACAATGTTTACAACAAAAAGTGGAGAGATTGTACATACATTTTTGTATGTTTAGATATACCATAAATAACTCAGGATTGGAGCTGCTTGTAAGTATAACCAGTGTACCTAACTTTTTCCCTTGTGTCAGCATCAATAAGGAAGAAACCTCAGTGGCACTTCATGTTAAACGTTGGGCCTTATTTGGGAGCCACTTCCTGAGCGCCATCCACTGCCTGGGGATCATGTGCTGGTGGGAAGTGGATGAACAACCATGGCAGGATGACCCCAGCCACGCAATGTGAAAATGGCATGGGCCTCTATTTGTCATAAACCAATCGAGTGCTGAAATGTCAGTAACTTTCAGAAGGGGGAATGAAAATAAACTTTATATAATAATCTTTTGATGTGAAAGTGCATTTAAATGTTTGGCTTGATGCAGTAATAGACACACAGAGCTGTTAATAATGGTTATATAGATTAACGTGATTTAAGAGCTGAAATACAATTTCTAGAGACATTAAGTTTTTTTTTTTTTAAACTTAAGTTATTAGTGGACAGGGATCACTGTTTTCCATTAGCATTTCATACAGAACGCCACATTTTGAATTTAAAAAGTGTGCTATGTGAATAAAATGCCATTTCCTTTACAGGTGGAATACTATCTTTGCAATAAATAAGTACAATTGTTGGTATACCAACTTCTCCCTTATCTCAGACAATAAAATAATTGTCACGTGTGCTACATGAATTGTACTTGTGATTGTAGTAACGAAATGGAGGTTGTTTTTTCAGATCTGAATAATCACTCTCCAATTAAACCACTAGTATACATTTTTATGGCTGTGTCATATTACTGTTTTCATTCACCTGCCTTTTTTTAAAATCAAATTACTGTTGTAAATGTTGATGAGTTCTTGTTCCAAGCTGGTGTCCCATTTTTACCAGCTGTGACTCAAGTGCATGGAAATTACCTCAGCGTAAATTCAGTACAGTAGCAACTGCTACTTACTGGGTGTAAAATCTAAAAGATTTTGTTAAGTTATCCTCATATCTGAGAGGGATCCACTACTTGGTAAAATGAGTTCTTGCACACTTTATGCTCTAATTGGTTACAAACATTTCAGAAAAAAAGTCTGAAGCTTTAAGCCCTTTAGCTACATTAAAAGTGCTTTAGATAATGGTTGAGCATGTATCCAATTAGTGGTTACAAAATAATGTAACTACTGTTGCATCAATTACTATGTAATATTTAGTTGCCGGTAATGCAAAACTTTGTACTGCATACTTGAATACATTTTATTTGAATTATGGGTGTCTTTTTAATACTTTAACATGGGCACTATGAATAATGTATCTTCAAATTTTAATCTCCTTAGCTCTTCAGTCTCTCTCATCCATACTTGTTACTTCTTCACCCTTGTAATTTTTATATTGAGAAATATTTCTTAAACCCTGTATTGTGAAATTTGATCCTGCGTTGTTGCATTTTAAGCCTTTTTAGACTTTCTTCACTACCTCATTTATGCTATGAAATCCTCAAGAGCTTTTGACATACAGTGTAAGAAAGATTAAATGTTTTAAACTGTGATTCCCAGTAGGAAGAAGACAAACCAGTAAATGTTTGCTTTAAATAAAATTTATTTACAAAGTCTCATAGTATTTGCTTCCCAGCTTGTAGCTTTGCCTTGGAATGCATTTTATCCATTGCAGTTTTAAGATATAATGGACACATGGCTATAGATCTAAATAAAAACAACCCCTGAATTTTACATTTGTTGAAATAATATTTGAACTTCAATTTAGATACTTAGAACCCAATCCTCTGTATTTCTCCACAAGTAACCATAGGATTGGGATTCAAGTCTGCCCTTTCTCCTGTGTTCTTTAAATTTATTATATACGAACTGGATTTTATTTTTTGTACATTTTCATTTTCCTATAAATTGGATTCTCTTAAGATATAAACCTAATTGAAGAACTGCAAATAAAGAATCCAAATTATATAATGTTGATCCAACTCAACAAGATCTGTAGAATTTTACTTAATGTGTTAATGTACTTGCTATTTCTTGAATATAAGAACTTCTGTTCATAGAAAACGGATCTTACTGGGGGGGGGGGGGAGGAAGAATTATTTTACTTCACTTGGAATGTATTTTTAGGTGGCACACTGGAATGCATGCTTGAGAGGTTTATATAAATCAAGGCTGTCAAACTTATGGCCCGTGGACCAGATGCATCACACGCTGGTGATGCCCATACCTGGTTTAGCAAAGGAAAGCTCAAGATACCTCATGAGGACATGAGTTTGACACCCCTGATATAAATCTTACCCTTCTTAGGCACATAAACTCAGCAGAAGTCTATTCCATGTAACTTTCAATGCAGTTATAGAGGTATATGGAATTGTAATAGCTTAATTCTTTGATCTAGTTGCATTTTCACTTTCAATTAATATGATCTAAAGTAATTGAATTTTATAATTCGTTATTGCTTATAATCATTAACCCCTATAGTTAAGAAATTTACTCTGGGGAAGAATGCTCTCAAGAAAGATAAATATTGTTAAGTGCTAAAATATGTTGCATAACCTGATGGCTTAACTCCTGGATATTTGGTAAGAATGAAATTCCCTGTCTACCATGAAACTTGCCATGAAATTTGGAGAAAAATAGCAAGGAAGAAGCTTTTGATCTTTTGCTGCTCTTTTCAATGGAGGAATTCTATTCATATTCTTAATTCTAAACTTAATTTGAAATAATTTGTCTGTATATCCTGTTTAAAGCATATGTCAGGCTCCCTAGGAGGTATGCACTATTTAAAAATGTATAAAACATTTATCTCTGAAAGCCAACAACACCTGAAGGTGCTAACTTTGTATTTCATATAGCTCTAGCTTTTAACTTAATATGACTTTTTATTTAAAAACTTACTGTATTTTCCTCTCATTCCAAATATGCTGTTAAGGAATCTATATTCCATTCAGAGAATAGGTAGGCAATGTCTGAAATCAAGAGGGAGGGGTTTTTTTGTATTTGTGCTATAGAAGGCAACAAACTGCAAAGAGGAATTGAAAATGAAATCATTATGGAAGAGTAGTGAAGTTACAAGGAAATAGTCTTGGGTAAGAATATATCCAGAGATGAAACAATGCTTAATAGCATATAGTAGCATCTGATTTAAATAGCTAAAGTTCAGGGAATCTGAAAGAAATGGGAAAAATAGGATTATAACTATTAAACTGGTGTAAGAAATTTGAACTCTGAAAACAAAGATGCTTGTTGCCAAAGGAAAATAAATTTTCATTCTGTGGAGGAAAAAAAGCATAATTGTGAAGCTCAATCATAGGGAGTATAGATAAGTTGATTTTGACTATAATTGCAATGAACCTCAGCAGACCTTGTCATAGTCATCAAAGTGATAGCCCTATAAAGCCCAACCTTGAAAGTATCACATTTCTATCTATTTCATTAATTTTGACAAGGCTACTGTACTGAGCTTTGAATAACTCATACCTGCATGGCTTTAATTCTTGCATTTAAATATGGCCTTTTTTTTGAGGTGGCTCATATTTAAACTTGAATAAATTATAGGCAGACTTCAAGTTACAACCAGAATTGAAACTGGCACATCCATCATTATGTGAAGGAATTAAGTATGTCATGTCTGATTTTACAAGCTTTTTTGCCACAATTAAAACTTGCAGTTGTTAAATGAACCATGCAGTCGTTAAGTAAATTCAGCACCCCAGATTGACTTTGCTTGTCAGAAGATGGCTGGGAAGGTTGCAAAAGATAATTGCCTGATCTTGGGATATTATAACCATTCTAAATACATGCTAATTGACAAGTGCACAAATTGTGATCATGTGACTGGAATGCTGTAACAGTTGTAAGTGCAAGGACCCATCAGTCACTTTTTCCAGTGCCACTGTCACTTCAAATGTTTTCTAAACTAATAGTTGTAAATCAAAGATGTGTAAGAAATTTATGAAGTGGACTTAACAATACTCGGCTTAAAATAGTTACTTCAGAATAAACTTCATTTCTTTTCCAATTAGTTGCTATGATCTGGTCAATTCCAGAAGCATGCAACTTTAATAAAAGATTTCCAATTTCCTATCCATTAAAAGGATTCTGAGCAACTGGCATATATGATTTTGGAAAGTATTTTAAATCTTTCACATACAGAAACTGCAAGACTCCAAATACATAAATCTTTTTAAAAAGCATCAATTTACTGCTAGTTTCAAGTATGAAAGATGGAAGGCAGCCAACTGGTAATTTACTTCTAGATAAGGGTATATTTAGTACAAATAAGCTAATTAAAATTAAAAGAAGTTCAATTTCTTATTCTGTATAAACATGCTTCTCAATTACTGTTTTTCCACATAGGAAGCAATATAGGAAGGATACCAAATCTGCAGATAAGAATTTTTACTAAGTTCTTAGTTCCCAGATTATTGCAATTCATAAAGATTTCCTTGTAAAGCTACGCTTGCTGAAAACAGTGTAGAAATGTTTTATAGAGCAGCAAAAGCAAGGTAGAGCAACTGCTATGAACA